CCCCAAAACCCCAAAACCCCAAAACCCCATTTAATATTAAAAGTATTGAAATATTGAATTATTTCAGACTCAGATCTTCTTCTTCTTGCCTTTTCCTCTCTTCTTTCCCTTGTGGCTATAAGCTTTTATGATTTTAAGTGTTCTGTAATGAGCCTGGATCAATTCAGTAGTCTTATCGGTCATGCTAATTTGTTGCTCTCTTTCTTGCTCAAGCTTCTGCCTCTTCATTATATTTTCTCTTGTAACATGTTTCTAATGAGGGTCTTCATTAAAGTCAATTTTTCTTGAACTTCAGAATATTTTTATTAAGGTTGTTCAAACTTTCGTGGTTCTTCGTCATGCCTTTCTGTAGTTCAGGATGCTATCCCTACAATTATTTTCGTCTCTATCAAAGCTTTTCCTCAGATTCTCTTCATTCTCTGGATCTTCCTTCTTGGTGAGGTTAGTCAGCTTATTAGTATAGATAGTGTTTAGTCTAGTTCTTTTCTCTTGAAGCTCCTTCATCCTTCTGTTATGCTGTTTCTTATTCTCTTCTTGGTTAGCGATGCTTTCATTGTGGATGAGTTCTCTCCTTCTTCTTTATGAATTGTGAGGAGCATTCAATTGCCAGTTTAGTCGCTCATTCTTTAGTAGTCACAAATCTCATCTGTTTTTAGTTGAAAATTGTTACAGACTGTTTGTTCTTCCTTCAAGCATGTCTTCAAGTTCTTGTTTTTGTAGTTAGCTTCTCGATAACTTTTTTCTTGCCGTTCCAACCTTCAAGAGAAATGCTAAGGTTGGTTAGCTAGATATCAAGCATTTTATTGACATAATTTAAACAATCAGCCATGCCAATAATCATGTTATCATTAATGATTCTAAGGTTATGTAGGCTTCCTCCTTATCCTTTAAGATGAGCCTTACCAACTAAGAAAATGATTTCTACAATCTATTAGAGGTGGCACTATACTCCAGCCAGTTGCTAGCTATCATCAGACATTATAATTTATTAGAGATTAGATTATTATCCTGAATGATCTTTCAAATTTTGCACGATACTGCAGTTGGTTCTTTAATTCATACTAGAACAGCTGGTAAAGGCTCGTATCTTGTGCGATAATATTGTTAAATAGCTTTGGAGTAAGATATAAAAGAACCTCTAGCTTCTCGACTAAAAAATCAAGGATCTTTCCAGACTTACTTAGCTTCTACATTGATTGGCTTTTCTATTCAAAACTTCAACTATTAAAGTTCAATATTTCAATTTAGGTGTTATTAAAAGGGGTTTTGGGGTTTTGGGGTTTTGGGG